ATAAATCATCATCACAACTGCCACCACCATCAGATCAATCAGGAACATTTTTTGTTATCAACCATTAACTGGTAGTAACCCTAGTGGTAGTAAGTGAGGTATTTCAAAATAAGTGAGATATTTAGTAAGTGGTTTTACCAGTTCTGCTCCCCCAGTGAGTTTCCATGACTAGGTGAGTATCTGATCCCAGTCCTCCTGCGTTCTAGTCTGTCACTCTATCCACTACCACCACACTGAATATTGATCCCAAATTCCAAACAACTGATTCTCCTGCTTTGCCTCAGAACAAATGCTGCCTGTGGAGATCAGAACCTTCCCTAAGTCCTCCCATCAATTCCAACCTCGCAACCTCCAGCTACCAAATCATTAATTCGGTTCAACTCTAGAATGTATGTTTGTATACACACTTCCTCTCTTATAACATTGAAAACAGGTTATAGTTTGGGCGCCTCAGCATTTTCTCACTAGTAACAAACCTGCTACCCAGGTTTTTGTACTGAGTGATATCACTGTGGGAGGAATACAAGAGACGCGAGTGCAGAGTTAGTATCTGTACTGTCAGCCTCTGCTCTGCTGAAATGGAAGACACGTGGCCACAGTATCCGCCACTAAATCTTGTGGGAGCATCTTCAATGAAGCTGTTAGAAACAAATCTCTCCCCCCACCACTGCAAATGAGGAGGGCTCTCCTGACACCCACTGCCATTACAAGGAATACAGTACTAGGCAAGGAACTGCTGTACATGGGAACAGCCTGAGAGGAACGGCACTTACATTTCCCTCAGAATAATTGAGTTGGAAGGTGCCTATAAGGCCATTCAATCCAACCCCCCTGCTCAGTGCAGAATTCTAAGTCAAAGGAGGTGACAGATAGCTGTCCAATTTTTTCTTGAATGCCTCCAGTATTGGGGCGCTTCAACCTTAATATAAAGCTATATGTTATTACTGAACTGTTAAGCACTGTGGGACTAATGATCACCTCTTGGGAATGTGGAATAAAAGATTTTTGATCCTTTCCCTGGCTTCCTATGCAGCAAGGTTTTGAACAGAGCTTGGAAAAGTAATGTTTTGGAACAGCCTCTTCCCCCAAACACCACTGACCAACAGCTTTAGCCTAACAGTGGTGTCAGGAAGTCCTATTGAAGTCTGAACGCTGGAAGTGGCAAAGAGTGAGGATCAGACTTTGGGCTGACTCCGTTCAGTTCAGGAAAAGAGCTAAGTGGGATCACCCAGTCAAGGCTGGACTGCATTAGACAAGATGAATACATTTGCCTGGAACTTAAGGCCACAAATGTTCCAGTGCTTAGGGAAGTGTGCAGTGCACCATCTAATCAGCTTTTGGAGATCAATTGCAGTCGTTGCAGCCTGATGAGATGCCTGAAAGACATTTTGCTTCTTTCTGGTATAATTAGCTCTGCAAATTAGCAGAATCACAATATGTAAGTATGCTTTATATAAAGCAAGGGTTATTGTACTGTTTGATGCGGAATGGTTACAAAGATGCCTGTAGGTTAACCTCATGTTGAAAAATCAGTCAACAGCACCACCATGTGTTCATAATTAGAAAAGTTGTAATTTTGGCAGCAAATCCAGGAGGCTTGACATGGCAGTTCCTTATACACCCTCCAAACTATTATCCATTTTGCAGAACTGGTGGTGGTGTCTGTGAGATCACTGGGATTGCAAGGGATATGGAGAACACTGGATGTTGTGGAAAGGTGACAGCTAGCCCTTCTTGTTAGACTGCATTGAGGCAACAGCAGCAGTCTACATAGTGGCTGAAACTGCAGCCATATGCCTACCAATTGAGACTCTAACAATTCACAGCCCTTCAGGTCAATTGAATTTGTGGAAGGCCACATAGCTGCCACACACCTAGCTATATCATGGCAGTGCACTTGAATTATTAAATGGTCAGAGCAAGTGGAAACTTTAAAGCAGAATGATAGCTTTTTTCCTCTCCTGCCTCCCAGAAGACATCATTTCCTGGGTTCCAGTTCCATATGGGGTAATACAGTGGTACCTCACTAGACGACAACCTTGCAAAATGACAAATCCACATGACAATGCGGTTTTGCAATCGATATAGCGATCTGCAAAACAGTGATTCCAATGGACGATTTTCGCTGGACTATGTTTGGGTCCCTGCTTCGCAAACTGTTTCTCGCAAGACGACAATATTTACACTGATCGGTGCTTCACAAAACGGGTGTTTTCGGGACCGATGCTTCAAAGAGCAACCATTTTAACAGCTGATCGGCGCTTCGCAAAATGGCTTCCCTATGGGCGATCCTCGCAAAATGAGGACGATTTTTCCCCATTGGAACACATTAAACGGGTTTCAACGCATTCCACTGGGGAAACGGTTTTTGCAAGATGATGTTTGCGCTAAACAGCGATTTCTATGGAACGGATTATCATCGTCATGCGGGGCACCACTGTATAAAAGGGTATATTTTAAATCCAATGTGCACAGTTGTAGTCAGTATGGAAGCCAGTGTTCGGTATCATCAACAAAAGATGGCATGCACTAAGGAACTATTAGTACAGGGTTGGAAAATATGCACTCCATAGGTAGCACATGCTCCCTTAGGAAAAAAGGGGTCACAGGAGCAGTCCAGGAATGGGAATGTATGGCCCCCAAACTTATTCAGGTTGCCCACCTCTTAATTACTGCCTCTACTGCTCCCTGGAGGTACAGTTCATTGAGAAAACATACCTGCACATTTCTTCC